GCTCTTCAATTAGTTAACATTTTCCATCTTTCATATTTCTTTTTATTTCAAATATGGGTGAATTCCTGGGACTGGTATTTTCCTCAAAGAGTTTAGCATCTCACTGATTCTTTAATAGCTGCTCATGGGCCTGCAATTTTTCTTTAGTTAGGGGCCACTTCTCCACACAAAAATGCACACTAGTTAACCATTTTAAAGGTAGAGCAGTTAGTATTATAGAAGTGGTTCCTACGTCAACTTTGTGTACCCAGACCATGTTTTGCCCTGCTGCTGAAAAACCAGTATAGCCTGCTATTTTCTCAATGCCATTTATTTGCCATTGACCTCTTATCATTGATAACAAGATGTATAAATACTTTTATTCCAGTTCTTCCATATTCCCTTGACCTGCACTTTGGAGCTGCTTTATCTTTAAAATATGGGAGTAATAAAAATCAATCAACTCTATCTTCAGCTTCTACTTGCAAAGTCATTTTTTACATAAAGTACAATTTAATTTCTCCATTTTATTCTTCATCTATAATTCCTGGATATACCATAAGTCCTTGAGACAATAATCTACTCCTTTCAAAAATTATCCCATTGTCTTTGAGGGAAGAGGGCCATATACCCTAGTGGCTATTTTACAAATAAATTGTAGAGATTATGTAAATTTATTAATCTCAACCAAATATAAACTAGTAGTACTGGAAGTAGCATGCATTAATTTTCTAATACTGAGTCTATATTCTTGATTAATTTGTTAATGAGCTATTCCATTGCTGACATGATGTAAGTGACTCATAGTGTTTGTTCCCTGGCCATGAGCTATCCCCTTTATCAGGTTTCTCTGTGGTAAAGATTGGCATGCACATATTTCACTGATTTGCATTTATTAATCCAATATAATTTATGTTAAACTATTTCATCTAAAGGAGGAAGAGTAGATTCCAGTGTCTTGGTCCTTCACTTTTGCCTTACTCTAAAATATTCTTATTTTCCTATGAGACAAAATTCTCCTCTGCCAATGGAATATCCTTCTTACCTCCCTTTACCAGTATCAGTTGGGGCCTTTTTTGACTCTTCACTTTGTAGTCTCTCCAAAACATTGAGAATTAATTTACATGAATACCAGATCTCTCATAGTATAGCTTCTCTTCTTTGATGAGCTTTCCTGAAAGATCACAACACTTTCTACACTGTCAATATTATTTAAACATAAATAGCTTCCTGAAAATATCAATGCCACTTAATTAGTACTAAAATCACATTAAGTTGTTTTTATTTCATTTTCAGTACATTCCTTTTTGACAAGTATTTTAGCAACTGTACATATCACTGTGCCTGAAATGGGAAATTCCTCACGTCGATGCCCAATCTTGTCATTTCACTTACATGTGAATCATGGAGCATCAGGAACACTCATTTCTTTGAGCCCCATGGGTTGTGTGCCAAATGTCAGTAACTGTTTCATATGAGATTTCTGAATAAAGAGAGACATTGAAGGATGTATTGAAAATATGAAGATACAAGGGGAGTAATCACAGTTAATTGAAACCTGAGCAGCCTTGAAGGTGCATTTTATTAATTGTTATATAAAAATGATTTTAGAAAGTCAACTTCCACATACCAGAACCTTTGATCTGTTCTAGGAGTTGTCAGAAGGAACACATTATCTAAGAAGCTCTCAGGCATTAAATACTTCCTGGTTTGCTGTGAATATCTTGTTACTAAAATCATGAAAATATTCTAAAGCTCCGATAAGAAAAACAACTCCATAAATCTCAGATAATACACAATGCTTATTTGCAACAAAGTACTTCAAAGCCATATAAACTCTAGCTCTCAAGTATGTGATTGGGACAATGGCTCTAATAAAATTTCCACACTAGCCTGTGTGTTTGTTGTGATGTGACTCACTACTTCAAGTTTCTCTGCCTGACTTTCACACAATGATAGGCTGTATAGTAGAACTATGAGCCAAACATACCCTTTCTTGTTTAGGTTCATTTTCTTGGGGTATGTTAACACAGTACAGAAAATGAAACTAAGGCAGGTAGTTTGATCTGAGTTAATGCCCACCTCCAGCACAAAAGACCAAGAGGAAAATAAGAAGATTCCTCCAGACACTAGCTTGAATGAGAACTTCAAAAGGGGCCTCATCTCAGACACCCAAAGAATGAGGAAAGAGAGGATGTGATGATAAAGGTGGGCATAGACATCAAAAAATTTCTGACAATGGGGAGAGAACCTGCACTGAGGAATGACTTGTGCTGCTGTTTTTCCTCTTATCCAGAGGCTTAGCTGCCTGGAGATGAGATGGAATACAGGCTTTAGGGTATTTACCTGCTGTCTTTTCAGATTGGTGGCTCTCTGAATACTACACAATTGACTTCTTCTCTTCTATTGCTTTCTCATGGACAATTTGTGTTCAGAAGCTACCTAGGTTACATGTCCTGGTCACAAAGATAAGAAAGCATTAAAAATCTGTGCTAATACATTAAGGAAGAGCACTGACTGTCACCAGGCATAATGAGGTCTCAGTGTGGGCTTGGAACTGTGGGATAGGAAGGTTCTGAGTAGCTGCCTAATGAATTCACTCAGAGATGTTGTAACAACATCCACTCAAAGGCTGTTGTATTAAGCAATTGTGAAGTTATTCAGAGATTATTCTGCAGCATTTGTGAGCCTCAATTCATGACTCCAAGCTAGAAATGCAATACCAGGTGCTAGGATAGAGAAATGTGACCTAATTTAAAATGTTTTCTAATGCACTTTAGTCTTCAGATTGCTTTCAAATGTGAAAAAAAGTGAGAGCTCACATGAAACCTTGCCACATACCAGTATTTTTATTATCATGGAGTTTGTTTTGAGTAGCTCACATTGTCTTTGCTGCACTGTATGATTCCCACCCTACCCTCCTCCACTGCCTCCCTCCTTTGCCCATACTTATGACCTCTTCTATAGTTTTCATTGCTACATGTATATTCTCTCTCTCTCTCTCTCTCTCTCTCTCTCTCTCTCTCTCTCTCTCTCTCCACACACACACATCCAACTGAGTCCACTTCATTCTGTGTGTATGTGAATGCAAAGCCAAGCACTTGTGACTGGACATTCAGTATGTGATTTCCCCTTCTGAAGCAGATGACTGTGTCTTTATCTCTGATCACAAACTTATCATGAGTTTTTTCAATTTTTTTCAAACCCTAGAGCAAGGAAAAGTATACTTTTATACTAAGAGTATTATGACATGGCGAAGTGGTCTTTGTGGGTGATGTAGGATTATATCTTTAGCAACCTATTCAGGTTATAGTATCTCTTTAGATGTATAGAAGTAAAATTTAGAGTAGTATGTTTCCATATGGCTTTTCAAAACTGTATTTTAGTAATACTTATAGGAAACACTAGGCACACACACACACGTGTATGTAGAGAAGCATATTATCTCATGTATACCTAAATCACAAGTAACATATATATATGTATATATATTTATTAAAATGTATTTCAAAGATATGCCATTTGTACTGATAATATTCCCACTGTTTGCCATGGACTATATAGGAAAATGCCAGTACCATGCATGAGAAACCTTCTATCAAGTTGTTGGTCAGGTTAGTCCAAGAGACTTCCAAACCATTATCAGCTACTTCTGCCCTTGATTGTTTCACAGAGCTTGAAGATATGACTCTGTTGCAGAAGCCACAATACAATTCAGACTTAGAATTTAGAGGAATTCAACAGAAATTTACCTAGTACCTATTCCCAAAAAAGTGGCTTCAATAAAACAATAAGCTGAAAAGGGAAAGGAGCAATCACTTGACCTATCCAGATGTGATATATGTAAACCACAGCAAAAACTGGACTGGCAAGACATTCACAATGGTGCAATAGTGAAACTTTCACTTTGGGGGTTTCAAATGCTGTCTAGTTGGACTAAGGCCCACTCATCAAAAGGGAAGCCATGCCTGGTACTATAAACATTCTAATGACAGTTTCTTAAACTAGTATACTTTCTAGCTGTTTTCTAAATGCCTATTTTATACACAGGTAAATACAGTTCTGACCCCTCATCAAAGAGACTACTTTTTTGCAATATATGGAGACTATCACAAAATTTCACAACTGGTCAAAATGCAGAGAATAATTGACTAAATGGTGCCCAACCACAATTGATATACCTGCAATGAATCCCTTTAACACAAGGCTTGGGAAAAAACCAAAGAGGAGTGGAAGAAAGCCCCCTGAGGCACAGAATCCCTGCTAATAGTGTATATGCCCTAGATATGACAGGAAAATACACCTATTCACTTGCAGTAGTATTTTTACACTAATGAACCAGCAAAGTGGCACTTATAAGGATGGGTAAATTCTACATGGTCCTACCCACTAGATTAAGGAATATGGCAAGGCACTGGCTACTAAAAGAATCATCTGCTTTGGTGGGGGGAATCATACATTGGTTGTTCAGTCACAAGTGCTCAGCTCAGAATGCATTCAAATACACACAAAAGCAAATGGACCCTGTAGGTTATATGTACTTGTGATCATATACATGTATCAATGAAAAAATAAGGAAGAGATCGTAAATATGTGGGAGGGAGGCAAGTATTGTTAGGGGAGAGGGAGAGTGGGAGTCATACATTGCACTTAAGGAAATATTACCTTCTCATAAATGGCCAACACTCTTACAAAAGAAATACACGTGTTAAAATTTTGTATGATCTTTGCTATTTTTATGCACATTTCAAACCATTCTGAAAGCTAAACTACACTAGAAAACATTTTTAAATTATGCCCCATTTCTATGTGCTAGTACTTGTTACTGAGTTTCTAGTTTGAGGTCATGAACTCAGGCTCACAAATGTCATAGAATGATCTCTGAATGAGTTCATAGTTGCCTAATACAACAACCTTTGACTGGTTGTTTCAAAATCCCCTTTTCCCCAATCAGTATCTAGTTTTACAACAAACTATGCAGTGTTAATGATTTCTTTTGCCTGCTCTATAAATTTTACCCCTTAAGACTTGCTATAAGCTGAACAGTTGGCTACAGCTGGAATCCTAACAGCACCCACAAAGAGCACTTTGCCATGTCAGACTACTCTTGGTTTGAGGGAATACCTTTCCCTGGTCTAGGGTTTAAAACAAAAATAATTGAAGAAGCTCATAAGTTTTTGATCAGAGATGAAGACACAATCATACTGACTTACCCCAAATCAGGTAAGGAATATCAGTAAAAGTGATGCTAAGTTTTATGAGGAAGGTTAAGGCTTTGAATCTCATTCATTTGAGTGATAAAGGATGTGCTCTCTGTATCTTATGCTAAAAATGCTTTGTGAGAATGGAGAGATGTGTGTGAGTGCATTTCCACTCAAACTAAGATATCTAGACTAGTCTCTGTTGGTGGAGGATAAGTTAAGGCAAAAAAGCAATGGCACTGGATCCAAAGTCAGACTCTGGCATTGTGGATCTATGTGGAAGAGAGAGTGGAAGAGGGGGGATGATAAGAATAAACAGAAGAAACGGCATCAAGAAAAATGGTGTGGATAAAAGAATGTGTGGAGGAGGTGACACTGCCAGGTAGAAGAACTACCATGAACCTTGTCCAGGTAGTGGAAAAAGTCTTACAATTCAAGAAACCAAAACGAGGCATCATGGATGTTTTAGGGAGAGCAGTTAGATGGGTGTCAGTAGCACTGAACATTAGATAAGAATGAGATTGCTGTATAGCATGAATAATAATAAACCAGAGACAGATATTGGGGCTCAAGCTGAAGATCAGAAAAGCAAAGCTGCCAGCTAGTAGTTATTACCTATACCAAGTCTTCCCTTTGACTAGAAACTGAATCTTTCATGATATTATTTGCTTTTTCCTTATATACCTTGTATAAAACTGTGGGCTCTGTTACTCATTTAGACTGATTCACTCTAGTGTGGCACATTGTGGTCTTGGACTCACAGAGATTCATTTACCTCTGTCTCCTGGGTCCTGGGATTAAAGGTGTGTGCCACCACTTCATGGCATCTATGGTTGACTATTGTGGATAGACTGACCTTTTGATCCCAGTTAAGCTTTATTAATTATAAGCAATATATTGCCACATTGTTGACATCAAAAGTTCAATGACATGGAAAAGCCAAGGGTGTTGGAATACATGAAAAGACTCAGTTACAAGTCCAGAGAAAGAAGCTAGAGAAATATCCATTGAACAAATGAGCATGAAAAGAGAATTACAAGTGTGCATGGTAACTAGATTCAACAGGACTTATTTGCCTTAAAAGAAGCAATACTCATACATAAACTGCAGCATGGATGTATCTCAATAGCATTTTATTTAATAAAAGGAGCGAGTCTCAAGGACAAATTCCATGACTGCACTGCTGGGAAATATCTGAGATAGTCAGATTCCCTGCATCAGAATGTAGAATGATGATGACCCATGATAGAGGGATATACAATAGGTAGGTGGAGTTTATTGAGTATAGATTCTCAGTTTTTCCAATTTAAGCACTGAGGATGTAATGGATTAATATACTTTGTACTTACACTGTGTGGACCCTGTGAACACCACATGTTTGTGTGCTTGATAGAAGTTGCACTATCAATTGTATGGGCATGTATTCTACTTGAGGCTTTTTCACATGTACTGTTGAAGTGAGTTACCATATCTTTTCCTTCTTGTTCAGGAACTAACTGGCTGATTGAGATTGTCTGCTTGATTGAGAAAAAGGGGAATCCAGAGTGGGTCAAATCTGTGCCCATTTGGGAACGCTCACCCTGGATAGAAACTGAAATAGGATATAAAATGCTAAATGATAAGGAAGGACCTCATCTGATGAGCTCCCACCTTCCCTTCCATCGTTTCCCCAAGTCTTTCTTCAGTTCCAAGGCCAAGGTCAGTGTCCATTCATTGAGAAATCGTGACCAAATGCTCATTGTGCTTATTCTACTAGAGCTCTGCCTGAAGTGCAATCTGATTGTGGAGGTTGTGGGAGGTAATCTGGGATTCTCATGCACTAGGTGATACTGATGTGTCCCCTCCTCAGAATACATCAGAGTGCTAGGATGTCAACCACTACATAGTGGTCAAACAGAGTTCAAACTTTTATGTAAAATGAATACTACTTTTTTTGATGTCATCAAAGTCAATTAGCTAAAGTTTTGATTTTACATAAACCCCATGGATATTGGGTGAATCGCTCAAGGTGGAGTTGCTCATAGGGGAATCAGCCAGAACAGGCACCAATGGTTTAGTCATGGGCATTGCTCAAAGGATATGGGTCATATGTACCCACTGTGACTTGTGTCTAGCTGTCCATTGAGAATGGTAGCCACAAGAATCACCTACATCACTCATAGATGATCCCCAGAAGGGATTAGAGATAGCCAGGTTGTGATATATCATAGCATCTTGTTAGTTAGAAGGTTCTTTGGAAATTCACCCATCACAGAACCTAAAAATATTTTATTCTTAAACTACAAAGGTAAACTCAGAGAAATTATCTGTCTTGAAATTATCACAATAAAGTTATATCCTATATGTCTCAATTTGGAAACTCTTGGCTGGAGAAATTGAGGCCTAAGGACATGAATTCTAGAATAATGTCAAAAAGAACATTGGTACAAAATACAGATATTATTTAATTAAAATTATTATTTTTTCAATTTATTTATTCAATTTTTTGAGATATAATTACACACATCATTTCTCCTTCCTCTTCTTCCCTTCAAGTTTACCCATATGCCCCTCCTTTGTCTCCTTTAAATCTATGGTCTCTTTTTTTATTAATTGCTGTTACATGAAACATGATCTATATATTTCTCAATATTTAAATACAACTTGCTTCGTTTATACAAGGTCAGTTGTATGTATGTTTTAAGGGCTGTGGATTTAACATTATATAACCCATTGCTATGCTTTTCACAGGGGATGTTAATTCCTCTGACTCTACATTTCTTCATTGCCTGAATGCCTTGATGATTACCATTTGGCAATGAAACAAGCAATAGCTTTATGCTATGCACCATTATTCTTTTGAGAGATATATTTGATAGTTAAACTTACAGAAACCAACTGGCTTGCCATATTGAAGATAGACTTAGCACAGTACTCATTGCCCTGTGTAAATAAGATGTTCTTTCATAGCAGATGCATGGTCTTTTACTCTGTAATATATTAATCTTTACTAATATAGAGTCAATAATCTTGTATTTTTGTTATAATTGTTTTTTTACAGTATTAGTGATCTCAATCTTGCTGTTCCATTTTATAAACCAAATAAAATTGTATATAATAATTCTGTCTATAAATATTTTGTACTTACATATATATTTTGCCCAAATTAAAATAATAAGTGTTTTTAGAAACCTACTGGACATTTGATTGACATTTCATATAACTTGTGCTAGTTAAAATGTAGGGAATAACAATATTGACCTTTATGTACATGTTTTTCCATTTAAGATGATATATGTCATCAGAAATCCCAGAGATGTTCTTGTGTCTGGTTATTTTTTCTGGGGTAACTCAAACCTTGTCAAGAATCCAGATTCACTGACAACTTATTTTGAATGGTTCCTCAATGGAAATGGTGAGTGCCCTACTTAATATAGATGTTTGGGAAGAATCAGAGACATATTTAAGACAAGGTGAGATATAGCTTAGGCAGGTTTTGAACACTCTATATAGTCAGGGATGACCTTGGAGCTCTCTTTATTCTGAATCTCCCTCTTGAGCTCTTGAACTATAAATACCCACTGTCATGTTCTGTTAGTTTAATGTTGGGGATCAAGCTCATAATATCAAGAATGTTATCTAACTTGGCTACATTACTAGGCTTTAATATATTCTATTGTCTTCACTTGGTTCCCTATTATCTCTCTACATTCAATCAGTCTGTGGCTCTAATTTTGAATGTAATATTGAAGCCAACCTGTTCTCACATACCATTGCATAAAAGGACAAAGCCACACTTACCCCATGACACACCATCCTGGCAACAATGGTGTATCTGGTCTTCTCAATAATCATTTGTGGGTGTTAAATGAGAAATTCTCCAAAGACCATAAAATTTGAATACTTGTTTCCCAATTGGTGACACTGTTTCAGAAGTTTTATGAGGCATAACCCTGTAGGAAGAAGTATATCATTGAATGTGAGCTTTGAGAGGTTTTTAATTATTTGAAATTAAATTTATACTTTTATATTATAACCTGATCACAGTTTACTATCCCTCCTCTCATCCCATTCCTTCTTTACACCTCCCTTTCCAACCCACTCCCAATTCACTCATCTGTACAGAAAGGGGCAGGCCTCAACATGGGTGTCTACAAATCATGACATATCAATTCAAGTAGGACTACCCTCCTTTGCTTGTATTAAGGTTGGTCAATGCTACCCATTATGAGTAATATGTTCCCAAAAGTTAATCAAAGCAATATATACAGGCCTTGTTTCCACCATTAGGAGTCCCACAAGTAGATCACGCTACACAGCAATGACACATCTGTAGAGACCCTAAGTCATTTCTATGCAGTCTTTATAGCTGTCATTCCAGAGGGTTTGAGCTCCTATGTGCCCATGTAAATTGTTTCTGTGGGTTCTTGTCAGATGACCTTGGCCCCTGTGGATCATCCAATCATTTAGCTCTCTCTTCAGTGGTTGTCCTTAAGCTAGGTACAGTGCTAGGCTGTGGGTCTCTGTATCTTTTTTGTCAGCCATTGGATGAAGGCTCTCTGATGACAATGTGGGTATTTCCAATATGATTTCAGGAAATGGATAGTTAAGGCTACATGTGCACTATTGGTTACAGTCTTAGCTTTTGCCATCCTTGTACATTCCTGGGAGTGTCACTTTCACCAAGTTTCTATCTGACAACAAAATGCTCCACATTAAGATATTTCTTTTATTCCATGCCCTCAACATAATCTGTCACGTCCCCATCCACACCATTTCCCAGTCAAACCATGAGATCTGTTTCATTTTCCTTTCCCAGGCATAACCATGGATCCCAGTCCTCATTTGGGCACTCCTTGTTATCTAACCTGTCTGAGGATATGTATTGTAGCATGCTATACTTTACTCTATTTTAGTATTCATTTATGAGTGAGTACATATCTTGTTTGTCTTTCTGCATCTGGGTTACATCACTCAGGATGATTTTTTGCAGTACCACCTGTTTTCCTTCAAATTTCATGATGCCATTTTTTGACAGTTGAGTCATACTCCCTTGTGTAAGTGTACCCCTTCGCTTTATCCATTCTTTGGTTGAGGGCTCAATAAGTTGTTTAAATATTCTGGTTATTATGAAAAACACATAGTTCAACAATTGTCTTTGTGGAAAGATCAAAAAACCTTTGGATATATGCCCAAGAGTTGTATAGCAGTGTTGCAGCAGACTGGTTCTCAGTGGAGTTCTTCATTGGTCTAGTAATAAAAACCAGGATTCTGCACCCCATCTTTTTTGGATTGTTTGGTGTTTTGGTGGCTAGCTTCTTGAGTTTATTGTATATTTTAGAAATCAGCCCTCTGTTAGATGTGGGGTTGGTGAAGATCTTTTGCCATTGTGTGTGTTCCTGTTTTGTCTTGCTGACTGTGTCCTTTGCCTTACAGAAGCTTCTCAGAAGGTCCCATTTATTAATTTTCGATCTCAGTGTCTGTGCTACTGGTGTTATGCTCAGGAAGCATTCACCTGTATGAATTCATTCGTTCAAGGGTACTTCCAATTTTCTCTTCTAAGAGGTTCAATGTGGCTGGATTCATGTAGAGGTCTTTGATCCATTTGGATTTAAATTTTGTACATGGCGATAGATACAGATCTATCTGCTGTCTTCTACCTGTCCACATCCAGTTATGCCAGCATCATTTGTTGAAGATGCTTTCTTTTTTCCATTGTATAACTTTAGCTTCTTTGTCAAAAATCAGGTGTTTGTAAGTGTGTGGGTTAATATCAGGGTGTTCAATTCAATTCCATTGGTCAATCTGTCTATTTTTGTGCCAATCCCAAAATTGTACATTATGGCTGTACAATAGAGTTTGAAATCAGGGATGGTGATGCCTCCAGAAGTTCCTCTATTTTACAGGGTTATTGTGGCTATCCTGGGTTTTTTGTTTTTCCATATAAAGTTGAGTATACTTTTTAAAGATCTGTGGAGAATATTTCTGGGATTTTGATGGGGATTGCATTGAATCTGTAGATAGATTTTGACAGAATTGCCATTTTACTATGTTGATTCTAACAATTAAAGAGCTTGGGAGATCTTTCCATTTTCCGTTATCTTCTTTAATTTCTTTCTTTAAGGACTCTAAGTTATTATTGTACAGGTCTTTCACTTGTTTGGTTAATGTTACTCCAAGAATGTTTATGTTCTTTGTGGCTATTGTAAAGGGTGATGTTTCTCTTATTTCTTTCTCAACTCATTTATCACCTGTACATAGTAGGGGTACTGATTATCTTGAGCTAATTTTGTATCCTGTCACTTTGCTGAAGGTATTTATCAGCCATAGGAGTTCTCTGGTAGAGTCTTTCGGGTCACTTATATAAGCTATCATATCATCTGCAGATAATGAAAGTTTGACTTCTTCCTTCCCAATTTGTATCCACTTTTGCTATTTTATTGCTCTATCTAGGACTTCAAGTACAATATTGAAGAGATATGGAGAGAGTGGACAACCTTATCTTGTTGAGTTTCTCTCCTTGTCGTGCTGAGTTTCTCTCCATTTTGTTTGATGTTGGCTGTTGGTTTTCTGTGTATTGCTTTTTATCATGTTTAAGTATGATCATTTTATCATGAAGGGGTGTTGGATTTTGTCAAAGGCTTTTCAGCATCTAGTGAGATAATCATGTGATTTTTCCTTTTCTGTTTGTTTATATGGAGGTTACATTGATAGATTTTCATATGTTGAACCATTGCTGCATCCCTGGGATGAAGCCTACTTGATCATGGTGGATGATTTTTCTGATGTGTTCCTGAATTTGGTTTGCCAGTATTTTGTTGAGTATTTTTGCATCAATATTCATGAAGGATATTGGTCTAAATTTCTTTTTCTTAGTTGTGTCTTTGTGGAGTTTGGGTACCAAGATAATTGTAGCCTCGTAAAAAGAGTTTGGCAATGCCCCTTCTTCTATCATGTGGAACAGTTTGAGGAGTAATGGCATTAGCTCTTCTTTGAATTTCTAGTAGAATTCTGCACTAAAACCATCTGTCCCTGGGCTTTTTTGGTTGGAATACTTTTGATGACTGCTTCTATTTCATTAGGGGTTATAGGTCTGTTAAAATTGTTTATCTGCTCTTGATTTAATTTTAGTAAGTGATATCTATTCAGAAAATTGTCCAGTTCCTTTAGAGTTTCAAATTTTGTGGAGTAAAATTTTCCAAAGTATGACCTGATGATTTTGTGGATTTCATCAGTGTCTGTTGTTATGTCTCCCTTTTCATTTCTGATTTTGTTAATCAGCATGCTCTGTATGCCTTTTGTTTAGTTTGGATAAAGGTTTGTCTATTTTGTTGATTTTCTCAAAGTTTCAACTCTTTGTTTCATTGATACTTTGTAATATTTTCCTGGTTTCTACTTTATTGATTTCAACCCTCGTTTGTATTATTTCCTGGCATCTACTCCTCATGGGCAAATTTCCTTCCTTCTGTTCTAGAGCCTTGACTATTCTCCAGTTTCTTCAGGCGGGCACTTAGTGCTATGAACTTTCTTCTCAGCACTGCTTTCAAAGTGTCCCATAAGTTTGGGTGTGTTGTTTCTTCATTCTCATTGAATTCCGGGAAGTCTTTAATTTCTTTTTTTATTTCTTCCATGACCCAGAATTGGTGCAGTTGCCCATTGTTCAATTTCCATGAGTTTGTAGGGTTTCTGTAATTTGTGTTGTTGAATTTTAACTTTAAAGCATGGTAGTCTGATAAGATACAGGGGGTTATTCCATTATTTTTGTTGTATCTGTGGAATTTTGCTATGCTGCCGAGTATGGGTTGATTTTTGAGACGTTTCCATGTTATGCTGTGAAGAAGGTATATTCTTTTTTGTTTGGATGGAATGTTCTATAGATGTCTATTAGACCCAATTCGGTCATAACTTCTAGTTCTTTTGTTTCTTTGTTAAGTTTCTGTGTGGAGGTTCTGTCTAGTGGTGAGAGCAGAGTGTTGAAGTCTCCTGTGTGAGATTTTATGTGTTATTTGAGTTTTAGTCATGTTTCTGTTATGAATGTGGGTGCCTTCACATTTGGATCATACATGTTCAGAATTGAGACTTCATCTTGCTGGACTTTTCCTCTAATGAATATGAAATGCCCTTCTTCATCTCTTTGGACTGATTTTAATTTTAAGTCTAATTTATTAGATATTAGGATTGCCATACCAGCTTGTTTCTTGGGTCCATTTGTTTGGAAAATCTTTTCCCAACGGTTTACTCTGAGGTGATATCTGTCTTTGAAGCTGAGATATGTTTCTTTTATTCAGTAGAATGATTGATTCTCTCTTCAAATCGATTCTGTTAGCCTGTGTCTTTTTATAGGCAAGTTGAGACCATTGATATTGAGGGATAATAATGAACATTGATTGTTGATTCTTGTTTCTTTTGGAGTTG